TTACCTTCCATTCCTAAACAGAGGGAAGGACAGATATACCATGGAAGCCACACATAACAGCATATCCCAGAGGGAATTTAATAGAATAAACCTCTTGAAGCATTCCTGAATTAGACAGTTGTAATACAGAAACAAGCTCTTTCCAGTTCTAGGCCCATTTGTAACTTCCTCCTACCACTGCCATGATTTTACTGTCTGATCCAACACTACTATTTACGAAGAAAAAGCTTAACAGTTTCTCCAAAGAAGTGGAGAGGTGGACAACAGATCAAGAGGATGTACAATCCTACAGAGCTAACTGGCCCATCAGCTTATCTGAAATGTTAGTATCTCCCCAATGTTACATAAACTATGAGCAATCAGGACACAGAATCCTGGTATGCAGGGAAGTAATGGAAATCCTGAGAGAATTACAGCATGAGGAGAAATGTTGCAAAAGCCTTGCAGCTTGAAGAGTAAAAAGCTCCCTTGCAGAGGTTTCTATTTTTTTTTTGCTACCTACTGCAAGACAAAATCATGAGTCGCAGTTGGCCCAAATCTTCTTAAATTGCTGCTAATAAAGGTACAGCCACAGTAATTCCAGGAAAAAGCTCACCTCTAGCTGTTTCCAAGTACCATGTTTATTACCTGCTATTTACAGAATGGCAGGCAGCCAATAAAATACTCAGTAGAACTCTACACCCTCACACAGCTTGCAAATCATCTTATTTTCTATCCCTGAGTAGCACAATGCATTGTCAAATTAGTTTCTCCCTTGCTTCCACTGGCAATTTATCATATCAACCTTCTTAAGTGTTTAAAAATTAACATAAAAATCTCTGTTCAGATTACTTGAAATAAAAAGTAAGCACACACAGCATTGTCTCATAACAATAGAATTATTCACACATCTATTTTCAACAGCTACATTTGGAACAAAAGCAGCATGAATGCAGAATATATTGAAAAGTAATATACAGCCAGGTGAAACGTTATAGATGTATCTTCCTCCTTTCAGCACTACACAAAAAAGATAAAATGTCTTTAACACATTAAACTTAGCAGAGATGTGCCCAATAAAGAAGGCTGATCTATTAAATGTCAGTGGGACTACTGCCACATGATAGCCTTTGATTTACATTGCTTTTAATTCACAGTTAACAATGAAGTGTACTCAGTTCCCTTTTGGCCCAGGTCATAAAGGCTACAGATTTTAGGTGGCATGGAATGGAAAACACCACTGCACTGCTGTCTAACCTCCCATAAGAGGGCAAAAGAAAACAATGGGTATTACTGCAACTGAAATATAACGTCCCAATGATTAAAAGAGATTCTGAAGAGCAGATAGCTAAAGGCAAAAAAAGTACATTGGAAGTAAGAAGCTTGTGAGAGTGAGAGACTTGCTGACCTGCTACTGGTCTCCAAAAGGACTCAAAGGTAAAGATCCTCCAGAAAGGCTAAACAGTTTCTTAAGCTTCAGGGTATACTGAAGAATTATTTTCCCAGAGACATACACTTCTGAGGTAAAGAAGAAATACAGTCAGTTTGCAGTATCAATAGAGGACGTGCTGGAATAAACAGATCATTAAAGCAGCAAGTCAGCAACACCAGATGGTTATATTCTGACAGGATTTTAATACAGTGGTAAGTTTTAATGACTGCATCTTTGCAGTTCAGACACCTGATTCTTGACAGCCAGAGGGCAGAAAACATTGCCAGAAGCACTAGAGGTGATGTACGGAATCACAGGTACAACACCTTTTTATTTCAGGCTTAGCATTTCATACAAATTATGTCAGAACTAAATATACACAGGAATCTAGCTTCCCTGCAGCTAAACAACAACGGTACTTGGTTGATTAAAGCACCCGAATGTGCTGTAATCTCTGAGATTGACTCATTGTATTAACAAATAATACTTGTGACTGAGCTGCAAGACAAACACATTCCTATGGAAAACAGAAGCTGTAGTTCCTAACGTAACAACACCCGAAGACAAACCTACATTGTGCTGTAAAAGAAAAACCGTTTTCATTTAGTTTAATCCTGACATATATACGTACACAAGTACATACACATATTACTTTTTATGAGATGTATGAAGGAAAAATGATAGTACATGGAAAGGTTGTGTATCTTTTCAGCATAATAGTAACCAAGTACTTCTGGCTTTAGATTACATTCTGCAATTAAAAAAACACTGCCACATAATATTTTATGCAAATAGGAATTCTATTGAAAGTTATTATATGAACTTCTGGACTGACAGAATATTCAGTAAATGCAATCTACCTACATTCAGAGCCTCTTTCCATCACATAATTCCTGCCCTAAAGAAAAACATAAACATGAGACCAGCAACGGCTTATGCACTCTGCATGTAATCCTATGTATAAGCTATACTAATACTCAATTTAAGTGCATACTGTATTTACATCAAACAACTTGAGAATATACAGTTTGTCACTGGAGTCTCCAGCTCTCTTATTAAAGATGATCAGCTTCTGGTGAATATGTTTCAGTGAGACAGTGTGCACTTTACAGTATGCCAAGGAGCACTGGCATGTTGGAGACCTGTACATGCAATAAATTTCAAATGCAAAAATCTAAAGCGAAACCTACAACAAAGTTGATACCCATCATACTGCACTTGACTGAATTATTTTTAATATCAGTACTTCAGCCCAACATCGCTATCACTACAACACATGGAGGGTGCCTTAAAGGAACCATAACTCAAACTTTCAACACTTTTTTACAGGTCATGACTAACACTGGATTACAGTCACCAAGAAACAGGAAGCTCAAATTCAGTAAGGAGCCAAGGTGAGAAAAATAAATAATCAAGCCATACACTTCTACACTGCACAGCTTCTGAGCAGCCTCTTTATGTAGTATGAAGCAGGTACAAAAATGAGAAGGAATAGCATCAGCCATGTGCCTTATTAGAGAAAGAAAAAAACCTGCTGTAGCCAGAGTATTAATAATGAAATAAGAGGGAAGCATTTTTGGAGGGAGGGGGAAGAGCATCTCTGAACAAGCTGTGCCCATTGTGGTATTCAATTAAGATGTGACAGTGATAGTTGTCAAAGACTCACAGATGACAGAAACTAGGACTTCCTTACAAACCGCCTGTTACCAATTAAATAGCAGAAAGACATTTTACACTAATAACCTTTTTTCTGTTTTCGTCATGTCAGAAACTTGGTCTATTTTGAAGCTGTTTTACCTTGAATCTATTTTACTATTGCATTACTACAGATTACATATACAGCAAAGACTAATAAGTAATTGTGCATGCTCAAAATAATATTTCTGGAAAAAAATAAACTTAATCATTGACAGATGTTTAATAGGTAAAGCAGCAAAGTGAATATTAGTGTCTTTTACATATAAACTCAAAGTTTCTTAAAGACTTTGTCCAGAATCTTGCTTCCGGTAAACAACTGAAAAATTACAGTATCATGGTCTGTCAATGAAGAATACATTAACAGGACCATTGTCTGTATAAAAGATATTGTCCCATACTGTGCACCAGTGCCCTACATAGAGGTAAAGATACTCTTTTTTGGTAAAAGTTAATCACACATGACTCCTAGCTAGGCTATTTTTGCTATTAATTAAAAAGCAACATGAATTAATACTATAATATAGTCCAGAAGAATCTATGAAAAGTAAAAGCAGATGCCATCCTAAGTGTGCCGTATGTTTTCAAGTAGAAACTTCACTCCAAAAGCTGCAGTTCAGAAAAAAGCATGATCCTTTTATTTGCTAGATAGAGCAACACTGCTACCTGCAGAAGGAACTGTAAACATTACAGTGAAGCTACATAAATTGTGCTGAGCTTGTAAATCAATAATGCTTTGACTATTTAGTATTTTTCCTCCCTAATCACTACAACTAACTTTACAGAAGCCATTCTAATATACTCATTACACAACTTCCACTGTAGGCATGGCTTGATTGCCCCCACCCTGTAGTCATTTTCTGTTATTCAGCCATTCAGACAAAATTCAGCACTGGGAGAAAACTGTCTACAGTATTCTACCCCTGCAAACAGCCAAGGTGAAGCAGGAAGACAGCACAGGCAAGTGCAATGATGACAAAGTGTTTGCGTAACGGAAGGTATGGACATGAAAAATTCAGGCCTTTACCTTATACAATCCACCTCAGACAATATTTTAATGCCTAACAACCAATCTGTTACTACACTGAAATATTCTGGTGTAATGAACTTAGTAACATGTGAAAGTGAAAACGGTCACCTCTCGGGCTTGAAGTTTGTTTCTACTTGGCTTGTTCTATATTTTATAAATCAATAACAAACTTCTGAACATACCTGACTTTCCTGCCAAATTCACGCTGTTTTTCTTGCTTTTTCTTCTGGCTTGATGTATATACCCTGACAGTATTTCTATGAAGCTCACTGTTATTATAAGCGGTTATTATCCAAAACTAAAACAACCATTTTCCTCTGAGAGTCAATATAAAACTTCTGTCTGGCTTTGGAATATCTCCCTTCATCTTGTTACAGATTTTTGTGTCCAGGTAAGCTTATTGCAGCTTTTTCTACTCAAAAGAAACTTGGTGGCATATTGCTGTTTGAAACTAATATCTAATTCTAAAGTAACAGATAACAGCTTCAGGGGCTGAGAGAAACAATCTTTAGGTCAACTGCATGAATGCCCAAAATGAAACAGAGCATAAGAGAATACTGTAGCACATTTTAACACAAAGATGGCAAACTGCATGTACAAACACGGACAGAGGAAAGAGGGAAAATTACACACACCATTTTTCCATAGGAGTTCTGACAGTATAACTGTGCCACCTATCTACACTTCTGTACAGTGAAGAGAAGTTAGAGGTCTTACTCTAACAGTTGAGCTACTATTTCATGTGCACATCTATCACTTTCGCCATTTCTAACACAGCCATATTTCTAAACAAGAATACTTGCAAATTTCTGAGTTTTGTGAGAATATATCACACATAAGTATACATGTCCTGAGAAGGCTTACCTGCTACCAAGGATTGGCTCCCCAGAGGTTCCCAAAGCAGAATAGTCCACGCCATAGAAATTCAGCCCTAGAAGTATTTTATTCCTCCATTTTGAATCAGGATCCAGTACCTGAACACAGGCTCGTACCCAGGGAAGAGGGGAATTCGGACCAGGTCTGTCAAGTTAGCAAAAATCAAACAGGTTGTCAGAAACAGTACACATTCATTCTCAGCCCGCTCGTTTTGACTAGTGTAATTGTAAAGAGCAAACTATGGCACACAAAAAACAGAGAAGGTTATCCTACAATCCTATGAAGGTTAAATGCACATTCTTCAGTGTCTTGAAGTACTGATGCACAAAACATGCTTGCCCCACTCTTGATTTTGTGATTAATTTCTAAGGTGAAGGGACTAAAAATTTTTACAGTGGGCAAGAAAAGGTTTCCACCTATCACATTTTCTCTGTCACTGGGCCTGGCCCACAGGATAATTCAAAACTGCGTTAACTTCAGTTGTTTTACTTACAGAAAACTACAAAATCAGTGACTGGTAAGTAACGCAGGTTTCACTGATTGTTTAACACTTATTTATGGATAAAGTCCTGAACAGGCAATTACCTAACAAAAAGCTACATCAAGAAAAAGAGTAGAGCCTTCATACACAGAGTAATTGAATTGTAATTGAATATACAAAATCAGGATATCGTGCTAATTCCATTCTTATCTCAGAGAGGAGAGAAGGCTTTATCACAAGGATAAGAAAAAGCATATTCTAGTCTTGCAAATATAAACATCTTCTCCTTCCTACTAATTATCTGCCTCGTATCCTTTGGGATACCTGTGCCATTAAAACTCAATATGCTAATAGAGTACAGGAATGTTGCTGGAAATTGTGTTCATATTTAAAGATAAATAAATTGTGAAAAAACATACGTATTATCCTGTATTTCATGTACTCAGACCAATCAAAGCAAATTCAAGTACAAAAATTTTAATTTTTTTATCAAATCTCTTCTCAGACTAAAAGCATGACATTTCAGAAACTACAGTTATTTCAAATACAATGGGTATGTTAACCGAAGAATGCTTCCCTCCTCCTTTCAAGTAAAAAAGGTTAGCAGCTCCAAGTCAAATCTAAGTAACTTAAAGCACCAGTGAAAGCATAAAGGTGTGACTGTACCATAACAGAACCTGTGATTTTAACATGGCATAAAGCATGGTGTAGCTTTGCCACACAGGAAAAATGCAGCCTACAGCACAGTATTTCTAAATTTGTTCAGGGTTCCAGATGGGTTTGTATAGCCTGTACAAAAGCCCTTTGCATCTCATCTTCATAGATGTCAGTTTTACCTAGAGGAAAGCTGAACTGGATACATCTATGTTGCATATTCCAGCAGGATAGTAACCAAAAACTGTTCTAATTTCACTACACATTATAGTTTGTATATTATAGACTTGAAAATGTAGAGAAAGGGGAGAGACAGAAAGGAGGTATATAAATTATTTTCAGAGAAGACAAAAGCTCCTTTCTCTTAAATTGGTCTAGACATTATCAAAATGCTAATATACTACAGGTGACAAAGGTTTTAGTGATGTGATAACACAAAAATTATGGTATTTCTACATCTGCCAGTTCACCACAAATATTAACTCTGAACAGCCACCTTGAAGCAAGATATACAGAATCTCCCAGGAATTCCAAAGGCATATCCTTACCTCCAATTAGGAGGTGAAATGAACCATGCTTTTGGAGAACAGTAACATAAAGAGTGTAGCTTTTAAGAACTTCTCAACTACATTGTTGTTCCACTTTCACACAGTTAAAAATATTAAGCTCCTGAAAATGAATATTCATGTACAAGAGTGGAGGTTTGTATTCTTTTTCAGGCAGACCAGCTCCCTGATCTGGTTTGATAAGCTGCTGCACAATTAGCTGTATCAGTACAAGGGAGGGACTAGTGGAAGAATGGGAAAACACATTTTAAGCATGTCCACATTAACAGTGCTGCCAAACAGCAGTCTGCTGCCTCAGGATGAAATAAATGGGTTTTCGATTGTGCTTTACAGCTAATTTTTTTTTCAACAATGACATGTATTTGATTATTCGTGTACCTATCCTGCAGAACCATACTGAATAACTGAAAACAAAAGAACATGTCTGGTAAAGAGTAAGTGCCATAGTACTAGTAAAAGTATAAATTTGTAGCTTGAGTACGAAGCCTTTCACAATATCTTGGTGCCAGATCTACACTGCTGTTAAACAATGTCTCACACTATTGGCTGTTGAAAAATCACCTATCCTAATTAATAATCCAAAGCTTTAATATATGATACATTTAAAACACACTATCCACTTTATTAAAAAAAAAAAAGAACTTCTACTGCAGATTTAATAGTGACTTAACTGAGAATCAGTTCCTTCAGCAATCTTTTTCTAATGTTAGATGGAGTCTTACCGTTGTGGTGTTGAATAGTCGTATGTCATGAGACTGAAGCTGTCTATTGCTGAGGCTAGCTGATCAAATTCTTTCTTTGTGAACATTCCCGGCTGGTTAGTCCTTTTAAAACAAAGCAAAACAAAAACAACAGGAAGAGATAAATTACTACTATAACCTGGCTTAGTCTCTCCTTTGGGTTTCATACCATTTGATCAGCTAAGAAAAATCTTTCATTCTGAGGTGGCGAAAAAGATATTTCAGTGCCATTCTTAAAATACATGCTTAAGAAAATAAAACAATATTCAATGCTACTTTTGTTGCCAGTGGCAATAATCAGATTTCCACAGCATACGTATCAAATAAGCATTTCTAGTATGGCTACAATAGTGATTATAAGGACTGCAGACTAATCAAATTGCCTTAGGTAGCAATCAACTAAACTCTAAAAGCTTTCACAAAATCTTTAATTGTTTGGCCTGTCAAACTGGTTTTGATACTTATAAAACTAAGTTATCTGAACCACACTTAAATAAATCAATCCATTCTACGACCTTCTCTAGACAGAAGTCTAGTTATGCCTTCAGCATATCTTTGTATGAAATATGGAACACAATTATTACTTGCCCCTTTTTTTACTTATTCTTAATTTACAAAATCTAGCACTGGATTAACATCTACCATAGCTTCATAGGCAAGGGGGTGTATTTTTGACAGTTTTGGACTCGCAGAGTGTACTGACTTCCTTAAAATATTAAACTCAGAAAGAATTAATGCACAGAAGTTGCCTGAAAACACTGAATCTGTTTCAAAGAGAATTCATAACTTCAAACTAGCAGCAGACATAGCACAGTGGGGAACATAAGGAAGACTTAATCACACTGGAAAGATGGGACTGAACTAAAAAGGAAAAGCTGCTGCCAGGAGAACCATGTTCTTGGCCAGAGGGCTCTGAAGCACGTTAAGATGAGACAGACAGGTAGAGAAACAACATATTGTCTGAAATAGCCTGGGAAAGCAGGGTTGATGGGTGAACATTTTAAAAGAAAAGAAAAAGAAAAAAAGGTGGTTTAACAGATACAAACTCTGTGGTGCAACTGTGCCATCTGAGAGGCAGACTTAGACGATTGTACAAGATTCCTCTAGAGAGTAGAAGAGAGAGACTAAAAAATTCAGACCTTCCCATTAATATCAGTAACTGCTACTTGATCTAGAAATTTGTAGGTAGCCCTGTCTAGGCAATACACACACTAAAACTACTCACGTTCCATCTTAAATGTAAAACAAAAAAAGATGTCCAGTAACAGCTGCAAGTAATAAACTGAAAAATCACTTATTTTGACCCTTATCACTTCTGGATCAGTGTGCAAATTCACTGTCCAACAATATGTGCTGAGTGAATCACCAGAGCATAACAGCGTTCACTTACCGGTTTACAAGGACACTTTATGTTCCATCACATTAGGAAAGAGGTTAACAGAGTATTGGTTACAAAGTGGATCAGAATAAATCATTTAACATACCTGTCATGTTATAAGGGAGCAAAGTATGAATGGTATTTGCAAGTAATGTCAATGAACCTGACCAAACACACTGGATAATGTAGCTCTAACTTGTAGCCAGTTGTTCTACAAGAACAAAGAAAATGAAAGACATCTTTGAAACAATGTCATGGCAATTTGGATGTCTGTGGGCAAAGCAATTCCCCAACGCAAGCTCCAGTAAAAAACGTTTTCAGTAAATTGATTTTGATTACTCGTGAAGGGAAAAAGCATAAGAAGTAATTATAACGTGTATTAGATAGTAGGGCAAGTTGGATTGCTTTATAGATTAAGCTGGGTAGTACTTTAACGAAACTCATGTATGTAACTTGCCCTCTACATCCATTTTTCATATATACTTTCAAGGAATATGGCAGGGGGGAAATACCACCACAAAAAACTTCCAGGTAAAAATGGATATTGTCATAATTTTCTCCAAAGCAAGCTTGTAACTGAACTACTTCAGCTACAAAGGAATGCCATGTGAGAAGCAAGGTCATAAATTTCCAACTTGGAACAAACCCAGCAGCAATGAATATGCTTTGTCCATTCATGGATAGTGTTGAACCACCACCACTCTTCAACAGCAAGCACCACTCACCAGCTCAACCAGTACAACCAGTCAATTCTGCTCTAGTCAAGTGCTTTGGAAAACTGTCCACTGAAGCAAAATCAAGACTATTTGATTCATGCCTTGAGAATTGTTCTGAGTCAAGAAATTGGCACTCAAAGATAAAAACTAAATATTTTTCAACAGCTATTATGCTTCTTGTTTGAGGTTTCCCAATCTTTCCAATATTTAATCTAAACTTAACTCAAGGGCAGGTAGTTCTACTGACGACATCATTGAGCAAACCAACACAGGGAAAATCAAAAGAAGTCACAGAATATGCAAAGTCCATGAGAATAAAAGTTTCCAAGTCTAAGCCAAAAGCCTGTCATTCTTCTAAGTCTTGAATACCACTTCCAAAATATTCAGTGACGTGGCAGAAGCACCATCTTTTATCAGCACTGTACAATATACATACTAAAGACAGCTTGTTATTAAATTGTCAGATGACTAAAACCTTGGTGATTTTATCTGTTCACTATCAACATCATGAACATGAAGGAGCTGAAGTCAGGTGTGTGAACATGAATAAAAGAAAAGCAAATGATTTAATATAGCTGAAAAGTCTCTTTGCATGGAATTAACCCAGACCTCTGAACTGCTTTATTCGCTTTATCTTTGAGTTCATCATAAGATACAGTTCAAAAACCACATCTCATTCAGAGTCTAAGAAATGTACTCATTAAAAGAGTGAAACTAAACACTGAATACAAGAGAAATCTGCTGTTTAAAGAAACCTGCTCCTATTTGCCTAAAAATACATTGAAATTATGCAATATGCACTATAAATATGAAACATTTTGGATTCAAGAAGTAAATTTAAGCAGAAAAGGCTATTCCTTTTATGTTAGCTTACACTAAATCCTTTTTATTGTTGTTCTAAGAGTCAGACACCTCATATAATATTCGCCTTCATATTTTTCGATCTCAATACCTTAAGCAAATGTCAATACAGTTTCCTTAACACTCTGCTCAAATGCACTAGTGTTCTTACACGATTCTTATATCGTTGTTCCACATAGTTAACTCTAAAACTTATTAAATACTAGCAAAAACCCCCAACTACTTGGGTTTTGAAATGGCCATCTAATCTTGGCCAAATTTGGATGTATACGAACAGTAAAAGTTGCTCCTTGAGGAGAAATTCACCACAGAGATAAAATTTATGGCACTTTAACTGCAGTAAAAAAAACACCTCTGATACTATACATACAACAAAACATTTGTTTCGTCTGAGGTCTGAGTATAACGTCCACCATGATACGTATAGGACATTATCCTAGGTGCTTGTGCTGGTCGACAGCAGGCTCAGTATGAGTCAGCAGTGCGCCCTGGCAGCCAAGAGGGCAAACCACATTCTGAGGTGCAAACACTATAACCAGCCAGTCAAGAGAGGCAATTATCCTGCTGTATTTAGCACTGGTGCAGCCTCACCTTGAGTACTGTGTGCAGTTCTGGGCCCCACAACTTAAGAAAGATATGAAGGTACTCAAATGCATCCAGAGGAGGACAACAAAGCTGGTGAAAGGTCTGGAACAGATGTCCTATGGGGAGCAGCTAAGAGCTTTGGGTTTGTCTAGTTTGGAGAAAAGGAAGCTGAGGGGCGACCTCATTGCTCTCTACAGCTTCCTGAGGAGTGGAGGTGGAGAAGGAGGTGTTGAGTCCTTGTCCCTGGGATCCAGTGACAGGACACATTGGAATTGTTCAAAGCTGTGCCAGAGAGGGTTTAGACCAGGCATTAGGAAGCATTTCTTTACCGAGAGGGTGGTCAAACACTGGAACAGGCTTCCTAGAGAGGTGGTTGATGCCCCAAGCCTGTCAGCATTTAAGAGGCATTTGGACACTGCCCTTAATAATATGCTTCAACTTTTGGTCAGGCCTGAAATGATCAGGCAGTTGGACTAGATGATTGTTGTAGGTCCCTTATAACAGAGAGTATTTTATTCCATTCTTTCCTGTCCCTTTGTAGGGAACCACTGAGTTACTGAGAGAAAAAGCACTCTACTTTTTGAGCGTAATGTCCAAAACACAGAAATATTTCTGATAAGCGACACTGTCCTTTCCTTGTACAGAGAAAAGCTGTCCCTAAGACACATCAATACTTCTGCTTTAGATCAGCCCATTTCCTTGAGAGGTGATCAGGCTTCCACCACACACTTTTAAGAGATGTATTTTCTTGGATAAAGTACTGACTTTCCTGCTTTTTTTTAGTGCTCACTTCTTCCCATTCCTAGCTATGTCACTTTTGACTGGACTAAGCAGCTCCTTTACCTTGTTGAGAGATTCGCCTCTTCCATTCATAGGCTCCTTTTCCAAATTTCTGCTACACAACACAGCAAGAGAGGAAGAACTATTCCCCTGAGAGAACAGGTCTTATCTGCACATATTCCTGACAATTTGCCAGTATTTTCCAATGGCATGCTGCTATATTTATATACAGAAACTATCACAGACTTAAAAGAAATCACCTGTTTTCCTTGGTATTTCTGTATACACAGCTTAGAACTTCACAGTTTCTTTTTACTATTCTACCCTTTGAAGTCTAAAATAAGTGCAGGGGAGTTTGTTTCATAGCCTAGAATGTCTATTGCCTGAATCTTCCAAATAGCATATGGTCATATGTATCAAAATTCCCAGTAGCGCTTTACTGATAAGTATCTCTATAAGGTTTTGACTTCGCAGTCTTCCATACTGAAAGACTGGAAAAAATAGCTCAACCACGCAAGCCATTTTCATTTACTTTCAAATGCATCTACATTCTCAATTACTTCTTCTGTCACTATGATTACTACTGTAAGAAAATACAAGGTCTTGCAACTGACTGCTATTCCCTGCAAGTTCAAACTGCATTCTTGTTTGGTTACCTCATGTTCTCCCTCCCTTACAAAAGAGGAGTTTTCTGTATCCTCATGTCTCTGAATAGCCCTTCATAATGGAAAACCAATTGACTTTCTGTTTCCTGTATACATCTA